TGTGTGTGTGTGTGTACACGCTCATGCACACTGAGGATGGCTTTTATTTTATTTATACAGAGGGGGAGCAGCCCCGACACACAGCCCTGCATGCCATGCCCTTCGTTTAAAGGGGGGTCACCCCTCGTACCAACACACCCCCCCTCCTCTCCCTCCTTTCCCTCCACAGCCCCAGTCTACTTCTGCTGTCCCTTCAGCTGCTGTTTTCTGGCCCAAGATAAACACACCTCCTGTGATTCAAAACTGGGTCCGGCCCCCTCATGGGCATCACATCTTGTTTATTTATCTCTAAACCTTTTTTTTATTATTTATACCCAAGGGAACAACAATGCCCTGTCACTGGTGCTGTGCTCTTATAGCCATCCAACATGATGGCCGCAATGGTTTGTAGAACAGAAATTCTCGCTATTTAGCATGTTATGATTCATTTGTGTATATTCTAATAGTAAACTGTGTCTTTATTGTTTATTGTTATTATTATTGCAATTATTTTTATGAAACTTGTTTTATTCTATATTCTCTGTATTTTATGGCTATATGCTTTATTGTACAGTATCCTTGGGTGCTAGAAAGGCGCCTTTTAAGTAAAATGTATTATTATTATTATACATTTTTGCTACACTGATAAATAACTTTAAATATATTGTGTGATGGCCTAAGATTTTGCACAGTACAATATGTGTATATTAATATTTATTAGATAGAAAGACAGGCAGAATTTTAATATCATTCCTTTTTATCTTGTTTATTTCTTATTAATAGCACATTACAAAATAATGCATTGCACACTAAGAAATAGGGAGGTCTGTCATATTCAGTGAGTCTTTCATCAGAAATGGAGGAGGAGAGATTGCATAAATGCAAAATACACACAACTCCACGTGGTGGGTGTATGGTGGGGGGGGGAAGGCTCCCTGCGGGCCCCCAGGTCACTCCTCCTAGGTCATGTGGCTCCTTCCAGCATGCAAATGAAATAAGGCAAGACAGCTCACATCTGCAGTGAATTATACGCCTCTCCCACAGCTTGCTCGCTTCCATCGAAACAGTCAATAAGTCATATGTGTGTGTGGCTACAGTTCAGCAGCCCAGCAGAGTTTGGGGGGGGGTTTCAATATAGCACTGGTGATGTCACACCTGGCTTCCCCACCCAGTGGTTCACATGCAGGAGTAACCGGGGCGTCTGACAGTCAGAGACATTCTGAGAGGCCGCCATGTTTTAAAGAGTGCCTTCAATCGGAGGTAGGTACAAGGGAGAGAGCTGTGAATCTTCCAAATCACATCCACATCCCCAGCATATAGGTCAGGGGTCTCTAAGTGCAGTCCTGGAGAACGCGGGCCCTGCACGTTTTTGGGCTTCCCCTCATTTAACACCTGAGGTTTCGTGGAACAGGGAAATAACTAAGCTCTGCTGGGCTGGGGCTCTGCGGGACTGGGGCTCTGCGGGACTGGGGCTCTGCGGGACTGAGGCTCTGCGGGACTGGGGCTCTGCGGGACTGGGGCTCTGCGGGACTGGGGCTCTGCGGGACTGGGGCTCTGCGGGACTGAGGATGAGCACTTTATCTTCTAGGAGCTACAGACCTCTGAGGTCAGACTGGGTTTGCTCTGGGCTGTACTGAGTCTATAAACATACAATCTAAGCAAGATGGGTTCAGGTTTAGAGAGATGGACCACAAGTGCATAGCTAGCTGAGGGAATGAGACTGCTACTGTGTACTAGAGACCGATCTCTGCGCCGTATAACATGCTACACGTTCCTTTCCTGCAAAATGGCGGGTCTGGCTGCTAGCTGGTACACTTATTAACTTGCACTTATTTAGCAGATGCTTTTATTCAGAGCACTGCACATTTTTGAGAAACGCTGTCCCAGGAGCAACTGGGGGTCAAGGGCCCAGTGGTAATATCACTCTGCTGACCCTGGGATCTGAACCAGTGATGGTTTGACCATGTAGCGACCTGAGCTAAGCTTCCAGCAGGGTATTGGTTTGAGCTGACTACAGTCAACTATGAGCAGGTGATTGGCCACAAGATGACACAGCAGTGGAGACCACCTGGGGTGGGGGGGGGGGGGGGGCAGGGCTGTGGTGTGTGAAGTGTGGGGGTTATAGGAAGAGAAGCTGGAGAACGACAGCTGAATCGGAGGTGATGGTTTGGCCAGTAAACAGGGAAAACGCTGCAGCAGGAACTGGATGGTAATGTGGTAACAAGGCCTACAGTGTTAAGCCCCTCTTGATGCAGGGGGGCCAGAGACGGAATGGGCCAGCCAGTCACAGGCTTGGCTCACTCCAAAGCTAGGCAAATGCCAACCAATCAAAATTAGAGTTTTTAGTGATTGTAAATAGGAAGGAAGCCAGACAAAAAAAAAAAAGAATCCTGTGGCCCAACCTACATCCTTGAACTAGAGCAGCGGCGATTCAAGGGACTCTGGAGGCCCTGGGCAAAAAAAATTCATGGGGCCCCCAACTCACCCTCCCCCAACATAGTAAAATTGATTACCATTATTTTAGAGTGAAATCTAAATTAATAATATCAACAAAGTGAATATAAGAAACGCAAGTCCTTTATTTTCACTTTTGCGAAAAATGTAATACACAAATAAAGCAGATGCGTTGTTGAAATGTGCCATGTAATCAGCCACCCTAGAGGGCCCCCCCCCTCCCAGCCGGGGGCCCCTGGCCGTTGGGTGTCTTGTCTGTCTTGTCACTAAACTGAAGAACCAGATCACAGGTTTAAGGTCAGCTGGTGAATGCAGCTGTGCTATTGCTTCTGGCCCAGATCTGCTATGAATAAATTTATATAAAACTAAATTAAATTAAATTAAATTAAATTAACTTGACTGAAATACACTTCCTGTAAATCAATTGCATGATCAGTCCTCGGAAGTAAGACTGTAGTAGAGAGACAGAGAACTAAGTAGGAAAACATACAAGCAAGTGAATGGTGACCACTGACAGGGACCGTAGAAAAAGGGATTAGCAGATATATTTAAAAAAAAATACACAGAAGGCTTGGTCAGAGAAAACCATGGAGAAGCTGTGAAAAATGTAGGGCAGTGCTATCTTGCACAGGGAGGAAGTGGGTTTAAGAACTGTTGAAGAGTAACAGGAAATAAGCCAAAATTTAGCAGGTCCTACTGTCATCAGCGTAGGCAGCCCACCCCTTAACTGAGGCAACCCATAATTACACCAAATAAACACGGTAAATCAATATAAGCAGTGACTTCATGGAAATATCCAGTGCTCTGTGATAAGGGATCATCAAATAAGTCCTGCAGAAAGACGTTTGCACTGCTCTGTTATTAATGCTATTGGAGTTCAAAGAGAATTTGTTATCAAAAGCATCTCAAAGCAGGTTCACGTTATGCAATTTGTAGCATTCAGTTACACTAGGGTTTGATTGGATACCATAAAGTGTATGTTAAAATACAGACATATCTTTATATACCAGCGTAACATTAACATCATAAGGTGGTCCATCTGAAAATACCAGGCCAATTCACTGTTGTGCAAACCTAAAAATGCCGGTAATATTACTTGTACTTGAATGATGTGGTGAAGCTTCACTTTCACATAATGTAGCACTCAAATACACTTTAAAATCAGATTCAGAAATCCCTGATCATTAATGTAATTAAAACGATCTATCAATCTATATTACTATCAAAAACAAAAGATAAGCATCCACATTCTGCTCTCCTTTTGCTGCAGACAGGATG